GAAGGAAATATAAATGCTCTGGATTGTCTACACACAGAACATTAGTAGTTAATATGTACTGGAGGCCGAATGATTTGCTTTCTTTCTTTCTTTCTTTCTTTCTTTCTTTCTTTCTTTCTTTTTCTTTTCTTTCTTTCTTCTTTCTTCTTCTTTTCATTCTTCCCTCTCTTTTTCTTCTCACCATGACCATTGTTCAGAAGCAAATTGGAAATCTGGTAATTAGGCCCTGACTCACGGTGTAGTATTAGAGTCCCGAGCCAAAGTTCAACACCCTGAAATGAAATTTAAACCAATTAATCTGTTAGATTTTTATCGCTTGTCCGTGTTTTCTCAGCAATTCCCCCAGCACGTGGCCTTTGATCAACTCTCATACAAACGCTAAAACGTGTGCCTGCTGCTAGCAAGATGGGAATGACATTAACATGGTACTCATAAAACAATCAGAGCAGAGAAGCCCTCAAACAGGCAGGGCATGGTAATATTTAATAAAAGCACACACATAATCTTCAGAATTAGCATTTTGTGCCTTGCAGTACCTTTGGGAGAAGAGCTTTTATTTGTGGAGTGATCATTATTATAACAAAGAAGAGCTACCTAATAATTTCCACTTTAACTCTGCAATGTGCCATGAGCATTTCAGAGCCATTATGCTAAACTGTGGTGGGGTAATCATGTTATTGTCATAGTTTGAAGGAAAGAAAATCTCCTCTACTTTTGTGGCTGTTGGGGGTGGGGGAAGAGGTAAAAAAGAAGAAAAAAAAAAAAGACCAAAAAAATCAACTTCAACTTTTATTTTTAATGAGATTTAGAACCAGGATTTGACTCTCTGTCCTTGTGGTTACCAAGAGTGTGAAAATTCCTTGGTGAAGAAGAATCTTTTATTAATTAAATCAAGATTTGGCTGGTGAAAGTGGTTTTGTATTCAATCAAATCCACTCCCTTCCCCAATTTTGTAATATTTTCATGGAGATAGAATTGTATTGATTATTACACTCTTGGGTTGGACTGAATTCATTTGTAAATCTTCTCATCTTCAAATTCTACTGAACACATCCACCATGACTATTAAAAATGATCTCTCCTTTTCTTCCTCTCTGTGTCTTTTTGGATATCCTGAGTGAAAGAAAAACAAGTCCTTGGCTACTTCAGATGTGATCTGGGCTTTCTCAGAGTAAAGCTTACCCAGAAAGAAGAGAGGAGAGGCTCAGGATCTGTTAATCAGCACAACTGGACCTTTTTTTTTTTTTTTTAAATTAATATCAATTTGTTCTAAATAGTACAACCTTTATCTCTTACAAAATTAAATGTTGTTATTTAATTTTTATTATGATAACATATTACCTTAATGTGTTTTTATGGAAAATATTCAAACCATACCACTTTTTTAAGAGTAAATTTAATGGTCTCCTTGCCCCCTCAGCCCCATTGCAGTCACATTGCTGTGTTTCATATGGACCCACTGGAGACAGTGGCTATACATCCTTCCAGATCTTTGTTCACATGTAACTACATACACACAAACACAGGTGTGTCTATGGGCTCATATATGTCATTTTTTTAAGTTAACAGGATCACACTGTTCATTAGACTACCAATTGCTTTTTTACTTACTAACATACTTTGTCATCTTTCCATGTTAGTTTGGAAAAATCTTTTCCATCCATTCAAATGACATTCCTAATATTCTGTAGTATGGATATACCATCATTTATTTGGCCACTCTCTTATTGGAGGCACCTAGATGCTTGGATTTTTTACTGTGAATACCGCAGCGAACGTTTGGGTACCTGTAGTGGTAGGCACATCTGCAAGTATTTCCTGGACTGCTTTTACTCTGGCAAGTTTGTTTGTGACTAAGATAAAGCGGTAAAACGGTGGCCTAGGAGTTAAAGTTAGATGATAAATATTTTGTTTACCGCCTGTACGTTTAAAAAATTTGAATTAGCTGCCAGCATTTAAAGATTGGGAAATTCACATAAAAATCTGGTTCCCAGCCTCTTTCAAAAGGTCAGAAGCCCAAACTGCACTGGGCTAGCACTGGTGTGGGGGTACCAGTGGCTAGAGCTTCTCCAATTCTTGGCATCAGGGGCCATCCATCTCATGCTTGTTCTGAGACTCTGAGCTGCTGTATTCATTTGTAGTTTTTGCCTTGGCCTGTATGGATCTGTGAGTGTTAACAACTGCTCTCAGGCCAGATCTGCTTAGCTAGTCACAGTGTCTTCTACCTTGCATTATTGACACGTTAGAGTTCTTTATTTGGCGGAACTATCCCCTGCATTGTTGAATAGTTAGCATCTTTGACTTCCTGGCACTAAATGCCAATAACATCTCTTTGCCCACCCCCTCTTATCAGTGTAACAGCACACGAGTCCTTTACATATTTTCCAAATTTCCCAGTGGGGAAATACCACAGAGTTTCCCCTCAAGACTGCTATGCCACACAGATGTATAGAAGCACCTTTAGAATGCCTTGAAGCCCAGCTTTACAAAGGTCTACATAACTAACTTGTTCTAGGAATGACATCTAGTCTCTAAGATAGAACAATAGATCGTTGTGTATAGAAGTAGGATGGACCAAGGGGGTACGTCACTGTTTTCATGAAATACCCCCTATTTTATTCACCAGAAAGCTAAGAAGATGATGTCACATATTGTCTCCTCACCAGCTTATCTCTGGAAGCTTGATGATCTTTCTTTCCTCTGGCTAGTTGACACTTAGCTTTGTTTCTGGTTTATTGCTCACAGAATTTGAAAACATTATCACTTTCCTTAGGAAGTGTTTGAAAGCACATATGTACACACACACACACACACACACACACACACACACTTACATGCCTTCTTTATCCTATAAAAAACAAATGGAAAGAAGTGGGAGAGGACCAAGTCTAAAACCAGCTTGACCATGCTACCAGATTGTCTTTAGTATAGAAGAGTCTCTCAGAGATAGACCAACACCATTCTGCCTCCTTTGTACAATGATAAGTAAGCCTGAAAGATCCATACTTATTTTAAGAGATATCTAAAGAAATATACTTACCCAAAGAAATTTGCATGATTACAAAAATAAAATTTTAAAAATTAAAAGAAAGTTAATACAGATAATAAACATCCTAAACAACTGTTTTGTTGTTTATGAGAGTAGTCACATGGTGAGCATTTATTTAATCATACCATTGGATTTCACACTCTGTCATTAGGCAAGTCTCTTTGAACAGACAAGTTCAGTTAAACCAAGATCCTGTTCTCAGAAGTATTTGGAGATATGGCTCCCTTTCTACCCTACTTTAGCAACTAAGTACTCTGACTTAGAAATTAAGAATTGAAATTTTGAGACATTAACTAGAATGTTTCCAAACTGCTTTTATTTTAGGAATTCTATATAGTTTTTAAATGTGCTTTATTTCTCTTATAAATTTCTTGAAGTCATGCGTCATATGCTATCATTGGTTTGGGAATACTCAAGCATGCATTTAAACATCTTTACTTTTAAGGAAAAATTCTGCTTAGAAAAAGTCCTGTGCCTGTGGAGCATTGATCACAATCTTTATGTGTGTTAAAAATTGGACAAAAATTTTCAAGTCATGAATCATTTACATTTTCTTGATTAATTATTTTGTTTTTGGGAGAAAGTGAAGGAGAGAAAAGGCATCTGAACTGCCCAGTTTTAGTTGTAAATGCATTACTATGAGTTCAGCCAACATGAAATGTTTAGTTTGGATATTTCCTAATTTCTCTGTGCTATTTTATAAGATGAATTTGAATCAAAATCAAACCCATTCTCTTGTTTGTGTGGTGGCACGTGAGCAATGGTCCCACCGGGCTAGGCTTTATATTTTCTTTTCTTCTTGCAAAAGTTAAAGTGTGATATTTTGCCAAATTTGACAAAGCCCGATAGTTTTATTTTGTTTTTTTTTCCAGTTTATTCCCGTTAAAATTAGCTGGTGCTCCCATTGACTTCAATATTTGGAAAGTCAGTCTTGGATACTTAATAAACTTTTTATTAAAGAGAAGGGTCTCGTTTCCTCTCCTTGCACAATATCTCCCTAGCTTTAGAATTTTGCTTTGTTCTTGTTCATAAAAGTAATCATGAGAATAACAACATGGCATCATGGAGTTAAGAACCCTTGGTGCCTTCTGAGACATTTCAAAAACATAATCCTACAATTACATTTATGCCTAGCAATTCTGTTGAAAGTACGCCATGCTCACCAGGCAAGCCACCTCTAGTCTGTTTGGAATCATGGTATTTGCAAATAATTTCCCACCTCCAAGGGCCATTTATAGTGGAAAGAGAAGAGATAATGAAATTTTTAAAAAGTCTATTCAAGAGTTTTATGCCTGGAAATGGCAACACAGCAAAGGTCATGGGACTTTCTGTGGTTCAGCCCTGACAGCTATTTGGTTACATAATTCACCCTGGGTGACCTGCATACTTTACATCTATAAAATGGGATAAATGATATTGGTTGAGAAAAACCTTAATGACTACTAATGAAGAATGTTGCTGTGTTAGTGTTACAGATAGAAGGCACGGAGCAAGAATATTTTCTTGTTCCAGGCTTTCTTTCTCACTTCCTTTTGGACAGAAATGCTTATCTAAAAATGTATCGATTTTCTTTTCGGGAAGAATGTCTAATTATGAAGCAATTCTATAAGGTCTCCAATGTGTTCCAAAAAGCCACCCATTCTTTTTTATTTTTAGCTTCTCACAAATTAAATTTTGCTTCTGTGTTTTATTTCACAAGATTTCAGGTTTGAAAATAATTGGGCAAAATATATGTATGTCAATAGAAACAATGAAAAAAAAAAGCTTTTAAAAACTGAAATTGCACCCTTAGGTTTCAGGTCCTAAAGCAGCTAGGAAATGCTGAGATCTTGGGGGACTTTCTGTTAGTGAAAAGATAAAAGATATATATTTTTTTCTTTTTCTCAAGTCTCCATCATTAAAGTTTGGTTCTAACAGCAGACTCCTTCTCTTTTTCATGTGTGTTGAAAAGCAGCTACTCCCTGTATCAAAGCCATCAGCCCGAGTGAAGGATGGACGACGGGAGGCGCGACTGTGATCATCATAGGGGACAATTTCTTTGATGGGTTACAGGTCATATTCGGTACCATGCTGGTCTGGAGTGAGGTAGGTGTTGTCTGAACATTAATATCTAATAGCTTGGTCTAGTTGAGGATACTGTCTACACTTGAATTTCTAATAGAGTGTGTCTAGAATTTCATGGTGCCACCCTGGGTGGGCCAGCTCTAGTCTGCAGAACTCTGGGAAAGTAGAGGACGTGGGTTGGGTATACCTGGAAGTGCCACTCTCTACCGGAATGACTTCCATCCTCTGGCCCGTAAGCACCAGGAGAGCTTCTGTTTTGTCATTTGTCCTCTTATGCTAGCCATGGTGAGGAGGTCCTATTGTACATTGGAAATTGGAAAGGAGATCCAAAGTCACAAAATATAGAGGAAAAACCTTGTTCAAACTTTAACAAGGTGATAATATGTGAATAGTTGTAGATGGGATCTACTGTAGGCCCATCTTCAAGGAACACCATTCATATGACAGTAACAATGCAGGTGTAGATGGATCTTGACTTATTCAGTGATTCTTCGTCCAAGAATGAGTGATTTCCCAGGACACTCTTGAAGAACCAAAGGCTTTTTCCAGCCCTAGGAATTTACAGCTCACAGGCATCTCAGTATGTGACCACAACCATGTGAAAATGACTTTGTTCTGTGTGTATAGTGCTTCCTAAGCACTGTGATCATTTTAACCTGCCAGTTGACTTGTCTAGCAATAATCAACATTAGCTCAAGATTATAAAACATGAACCTCACTATTATATAGATGCCATGGAAAACTTGCCTTTGCTTTCTTTCTACGTTTTGAGCCTAGATTTCTCATCCAGCATGCCCAGAGCTCCTTCTCTTTCACTTCCCCAAAGTTTAGAATAAAACTCATGTTAGGCCCATAAGGTACCACTGATCTTGTCCATGCTGTTTGTTTTACAAGCAGTTGTGTGAATCACTAAACTTTATTGAGACATTCTGTAACTAGGCACTGTGCTCAGTTATTGACACAGATCATCTCAATCCTTTCCTCTGCAGCATGGGATAAATACTCTTAGCCTTAATCTGTTCTTGATAAAGACACTAAGGATGAGAGTTAGATACATAGTTACAAAACCCCAAAACAGCTACTGGAAGCCCATGAAGTATGGATCATATGTATGCAGCCACAGAAGTCAGTAGCAGAACAGGAGCTAGAACTCAGATTTTTTATTTCCATTCCTAGCTGTCCTCCCATGACACCACTGTTTAGACCATCTAGATACTTTGTGTCTTCTCTCTAGACAGGCCACAGAGGTAAGCAGAGTAAAGACTGTGATCTTTGAGTATTTTTATCTTTCCAAAGCAGAGCCGGTCTTTCTTTTTAAGCCTTCTGTGTGCACTTCTCACTGCCAGTAACTCACTCGGGCCAGCCTCTTGTCAGCCTGTGGGTCCATTGCTTTTGTATTTCCCATGCCGCCAACTAGCAGCATGCATTTGGCCAGAGAATCAAAGCTCTTGTAAAACTGAATCAGGGATGGGCTTCTCAGTCCACCAAACTAATTGTTGTCCAAGTTGGATGGAACATCCCAGGCACAAGAAGTGGACTGAGCTCCTGCTGCCGATTGTACCCCATTCTTTGTTGGAACGTTGGGTTGTAAAATTAGAAGCATCACATACATGGCATATTTTGCTGCTAGTCTGGTGTCTTTATCCCTGCTGGAGACAGCAGTCCTCACAAGGACAGCTTCTCCCAGGTCTTGTAAGCTATAAATTCATCCCTTTCTATACCTCATTCTGTTGCTTATCCTGGAAGTTGGGAGAGGGGAAGAATAAATATAATATGGACTTCTTGCTCTATATTATAGAGACCTGAGAAGTGGGACTCAGAATTGGCAGTAAGTCTTACTGAACCTCTGAGAATAAAGTGGGTTAGTCTGAAGTTTCTTTTAAAGCTTTGTGTCTGTCTTTGCCCAACACTACATTGGTTATGGAACAAGGGCTTTGACATACCAGGAGATCATTAATTTGTACTTATACCTTGTTCCTAGTCACGGTCCTTGTGTTTCCTCTCTGTCTGCCCACATTCTTGCCCTCTCTTGGGAAAAGGTAAGAAAGAGAAAATTCTAATTTAGACTAATCCAGATTGCTTCAAAGTATCTGTTTCCATATGACAAAATCAATACAAATCATGAAAACAAAAATACCCCAGTAAAGCTATACCTTTGTCTTCCTCCTTCTTCAATCTGTCCACCGCCACTGTCTTGCATGTACCAGAAACCCCTCACGGTGGATCTTAATGGATCCAACTAGGAGGTGAGGCTGGGGAATGCATGCTCCTTCTTTGGCCACCTCCTCCTCCCAAACTGCTCTCATGTGTGACTATGTCATAAATCAACTATGACCCTTTCCCAATGCAAACCTACCAGGAATTTCCAAAATGTGGATATTATTTTAAAATAAGTAAATCCTCTGTAGCATTAGATTGGGTGTCTGGGTGGAGGATTTTAATTTAGGTTGTTATTATAATAGTCTTGACATTAGGAAAAAATGAGCCTTGCAGAGGTGAACTTTTTATAAATATTTTAAACTATTTATATATCTAGATTTTCATACAGGCTATTTGACAGACATGACTTTTAGTGGATGGAGAGAGAATTTGGTACTGCTTCAAATCCAAAAATCCATTGTGTAATAATGAGAAATAGCTCACATTTACAAAGGGTTTATCATGTGTAGGTAATTATTTGATCCTCATGGTAGCCCTGTGTTAGATACACATGAGTAAACTTAGTGTAGGAGAGGTTGAGAAATTTGCCCATCATCACACAGATAGCACTAGAGATGCATTTGTATCACAGTGGCTATTTTTACAAAAAAAATTAAAGCCCAAGTTACTGAGAGAGCAAACGAATACATATGAAAGGAAAGAAGCACAGAAATAGAAGAAAGAAAAAAACATGCATAGTAATCCAGGTAATAGGATAGTAGAAGTAGTAGTAATAGTAATAGTAGTAATAACTTCGGTGGGTTTTAATCACATAAAATTACATATGTGCCTTTCATTTTGGTAGAGGCAAAAAATATCAACCAGGTCTGGGGCCATTTCTACAGGCTTCCATTGGATAGAATCAGAACTCACTCAGTACTGTGAATATTTAAAAGATGATATCTGTGAAAGATTGGTGGAAAAATGTCGAGTATGACTAATATTCAGCTAAGATTCACTGATCAATTAGTTCCTGCCAGGTACCATGCTGAGTATTTGGTATGGCTCTCATGTGACCATCACAACATCTGTCTACTATGTTGTTCTTGTTTCACTGATGAGGAAATTGAGGCTTGGGGAAGTTAAATCAGTGCTCCACGTTCAGAGGGTGGAAGTGGAATTTGAACCCAGGCAGCCCGACTCCCGGGCCTCATCTTCTAAACTGTCCATTATTTAGCCTATGCCAAAATTGTTACCCTAGTGTTTTAACATATCAGATAAGGTGTAATGCTCACCATTGCCACTGATGCCTTGTACTGCGGTGAGGCAGGGGTGGGTATCTTAATAGTTATTATCGCCTTCCAGGCTGTGGTAGACTTGGGATGCAGAGCAGTAAGAGCTATCCCTTCATATTCTAGTTGTATAGGCTTGTAGATGGAGCCATTGGCTTCTAGGAAGAATTTATCTTTATGAAGGATACATGCCCTGCGTCAGGGGCAGAAGACAACCTCTTCCTTGTTGACATAAGAGAACTTGGCAGGATGGTTAACCTGTTTGGGTCACATCTCTAGATAGGACCCCTATCTATCTGACTTTTTGTCCCCTGGCCACGTGATCTCTTGAGGTTATGCCACCTCTAAGATCTAGTACTTCTGATTTTAAATAGACTTTTATCTCTTCACCATTTCCTCATCCTATAGCCCAAAGCACTCAGGAAGCAGGCTGGTGGGCCAGGACAAGCAGATAACATTTTAGATTAGCAGCTGATGTTATTATTTGGAATCTTTTTTTAGCTTAAGAATTTTAAAAAGAGTGAGAGAAAATAGGGCTGGCTTAATTTACCCTCATCTGTGCTCTTTCCTTACTAACCCAATCTTTTGCAAATGAGTGATTCAGTTTAGCTCACTGATTGCCGCCTGAGGGTTGGGGAAAAAGAAAGGTGACACTCCATTGCTCCTACCTCAGCTCTGCTGTCTGTGAGCTCCCAAGTTTGGGGTGAACTACATGGCTTTCCTGTGAATTTGGTTTGCCATCTTTGTTACTCTTCCTTATCGGTTCTTGGCCTTTTTCCTCTCTGTCTTTCTAGAAAGCAAATTATCATACTGATACTCTTGTGCTTTGTATCCTGCCTTTACCCAAAAAATTTGCCAAAAAAAAAAAATCTTTGTAGTATTTGATATATAAACCCAGGAAAATCAACAGAGCTGATGTGTGCTCATGATTAATGTGGGTTGAGTTTTTTCTTGATCAGAGATATACTTGGTTGTTTTTTGCTTTTCCCATAACATGTGATTTGGAGGAGGGGAATGGTTCCTGCTTCTGGTTTGTAGAGCTAATACTTATGTTAATAACTCCTGAACATCTCTATTTGCTAAGCCATGAGTACTGCTTGGCTTGCCTCTTGGTGTCTAGCACTGGGATAGTTACTACGGGTAATCAAAATTAGGCTTTGTGGGATCTGGTGTTTTATTTGGAACAGCACCTTGCTCCTATGAAACAAATTAGGGAGTTACATAATATATTTTTATAATCCAGTGTTAAATTACTAGCTTAAAATTCAAGGCAAGGTTCTAGAAAGCACAGAGTATGGTATGGTCAGAAGTAGACTGTTCAAATAACAGTCAAGCTTCTGTTATGTACTGGTGGATCTCTGTGCTGGGCATTTTAGGCTCTGACAATCATTTGATTTAATCACTGAAATCTCTGGGAGAATTTATACAGCTTAAGGTATTTAAGATGCCTGTAAAGAAAGTACAGTGGTGAGATTGGTGAGGAGCAGAGGATGAAGGGAACTTCATGCAGACAATCATCCAAGCAAAGGTTTAGATTGCATGAGGTGGCAGCAGGCAAGTAGCTAGTCAGGAGACTTGGGTATTAATTGC